TTTCCTACTGTTTAATTGTAGTCAGGCTCCATGTTTAACCATTAGAAACATGGTACCATAAAAAAAAAAAATTAGTTTTAATTAAATCTGCATTGTTAGACATTGGTAGGAGCTATTTTGGCTTTATATGCCTTAATATATCCAACTGGATGGCTCACATGAAGTTACATATCATTTGGTCCAGTTTTCTTATGCCAAAACCAAAACCATTTAAATAAAGACACTACTAACAATCAACACATTACAAATTGCCTTCATTCCTATGTTAACCTTAGATTAACTCTCCTAAATTGAAAACTACATTACTTATAATAAATTACACTTAAAAGGCTGTTACACATTATAAGAACCAAAAGATACACTGAAATCACACAATGGGGACAGTGATGAACAAATTTACAATTGCGAGCCTCTCACCGTGGCAAACAGGCATGATACAACTTGGCCAGCAAAAAATTGTTTGCAACACTGGCACATTTAAACTCTTTCAGTCCCAAAAACTGATATTAAAGGGGATAAAATACAAACTATAAGTGCAATATATGAAATGGCTGTTGGGAAGCCATATTTCTTTAGCGTGCTTTGAGCAAATGTAAACAGTATGAGAATACATTACGTGATGATCAGAATTTAAGAAGGAAACCTACTAAAACACTGTCAGGCATGAAAGAGTTAAAATGAATTAACACAGACACTACTGAATCAAAACTCCCGGTCTGATGTGATGTACATGTTCCAAGCCAACACAAACACAATTTCATAACAAATGTAGTTTCTATAATAAAAATGTTGCACCGGATTACTAATTTCCTTCTCCTTTTTTTTTCAAAATGACCTGTTCTGGTTAAAATGGTTGTAATATTTAGATCATTACCACTGTACACAAAAGCAAACACCAACACAATTACCGTGTACCAATGACAGCATTCAAAATACTCCCTTCTGTATCTAGGAAAAATCTTTGGAAAATCAGTCATAATAAAGCAAGGAAACAACATGAACATTAACATGGTGTTTCCATAGTAGAACCCAACCCAAAAGAGTAACAATGTTCCGGAAAGAACAGCTGGCCAGCAAAATTTTTATCATATCACCCATCTAGTGCAGCTTTACCTTCAACAAATATCGGGCTAGCATCATATGCCTAAAAAAGCAACAGGGTGCAAGAACAAGTCTTTTACTTACTCTAACACAGTATCTGGTGTATGCCCACTGCTTACCCCAACAATAAAAATGTTTTGTGTTCAGTCAAGCTGCACAATTATAAAACTGATATCACTGAGATATTGAAAAACATAGAACATTCGGCTATCCTCCGAATAACGGTCCCAAATTATCAAGGCCGAAAATTTACCCTAACAGGGCCTCATTAAATTGTGACCCACAGGACAGATATAAGATACCCTTTTCAAGGCGCCCCCCCCCCCCAGGTTATAATTAGGTCACCCGTAACAGCTACATTAACCTGGTATGGGTAAGGATGTCCAGTAAATTGTTGTAATTATTCTATACTTTTATTCATGGTATGGGGCATCACAGGACGACCCAGCCTAAAATGGCTACCAGGATGTGTGTCCTAGGGAAGTAAAGACAGCCGGAGTAATGCTGACCACATTACCCACCTAGTGCCATTTGGTCTGTAAAAATATGGGTGCTCTTGCCATATGCCCGATGTGCCTAAAGGCGTGAAAAGGGATCTTTACTTTTATTCTATACTTTTATAATGCATTCCAGTAACACATTCTGACCTCGTAATAAAAGCAGCAGATAATTTTCAAACATTATCTGAGCATTATCAAGATGAAGAGGAAAATCAAATGATCACTAAATGTTTTGTAGGTCATCAGTCTAGACAAGTGAATGCCTAAAATATCACATCACAAATGACGGTGTGTGGTATGGGACTTCCTGTAAATGTTAATCTTATGGTGAAAGATATAAATGAGGTAAGCACCATCATGGTCGATGTCATATTATAATAAATACATATAAAGAAACATTAACATCAAGTGTGATCAAATGAAACGTGTCCAAATGGATTTATTATAAAAGTGTGACAGCCATGTTAGGAAGTGTGGTAGAATTGTACAAAGCAACTGATAGGAAGCAAGCACATATCTGGGGCAAGATAAAGGAGCCACTGTGGACATTCCCCTATCTGGGGAGATGGCAGTACCATCAACAGAGTGGGACTTTAAAAAAAAAACTTTTGACTGCATAAATACTCATGATATAGTATGGCTCCATTCCATGCCTGTGTTTTGCTGAATGGCTCAAAACTGAACCCTGATTCATATCCTACCACAATAGAAATGCATCCCCATCCGCACTACTTCCTTTTTTTTTTTATTTTCACCGGCTGTAAACTCCAGTAGAAAGTTCTCCTGTTAGTCCACTTCTGGACTTTAGTCATGTTCCAGTACTTAAATTTTGCATTCACATTCCTTTTACAAATCTGGCTTATTTTAATGAATTATGTTGGTTTTTCACCTTTCAGGTAGATATACTTCAAAGGACACACTCCTGAAAAGTCTACTTTTATGACATGCCGCTTGCTGAGGGAAGGGAAGAGTGTGTCTACCAAAGATGGGGCCCCAGAACCCATACAGGGAACTGTCTGTACTGTAATGCAGCAAGCAGTTTAAACTGCTCCTCCACTTGCTCTCTGTGGATATTATTCACTGTCTCCTTAGACTGGGATGTGTGTCACAATGACTGTGGCGACCTTTTCACATGACCCCAGGTATTTGCTTACTTCCTAACAGTTCATTTCTTTAATTTCACATCTGCTATCATACTTTTGAAATAAAACCATTGGGATAGGTTTCATTTGATTACACCTCACATATTTATCACACCCTTCCCTGTACTGTATGTGGCAAAGGTACTAACCAAGAAAATGCCACCACAATTACACATGAAACAAAATACCCACTTTTCATACCATGTCTGACATACAATGTTTTGATATTTTACATAATGTTCACAGCTGAACAGCAACAGATACCTCACATCAGCACTTTGTGAAGGATGACCAACACACTATGTTAACCTTAATACTGAAGTTACAGCTACAACCACCAAACCAGCATAGTGACGCAGAGATGCTATCACCAAAGCCAACAGTGGTATTTATACATGTTAATTGTTAGAAGCATTAATACTGTGTATTGTTACAGTCAGCTGTACATTTTGTCACAACATTAATGCACACAGTTCAATTATATTTAACAGGTAAGTAACAGATCACTGCATTCTGGGTTATGTGAAGCAATTTCACAAAGTTAGGCTTGACACCTAGGCTTATCAAAGTGCTTGGTGTTAAAGTGAGCACACATGGTTGGTTGGTTAATTGAAAGAAAATCATTTCTTTTCATTCATCCCTATTCAACCAGCTGAGAACAGCTTTGGTCATAATCATGGTCTGGGTTCTTGTGCCAAGTGTTTTAGTTAAGATTTTAGTATGCCAACTTTATAGGCCTTAGATGTACTGCAAGCCTTTATATTAAGATTCTGCCGTGTTTTAGGGAAGTAGCGGCACAGCTTATCTATGAGTTGAGTTGTGTTAAAAACCAAACCAACAGCAATCAGGACATTCTCATAAGCGCTCCATCCCCATCTTCAACAGCTACTGCAAACTTCCAATTTGGATAGTACCAGTGGCAGTCTGATTGTATGTTTGTCTTGCCTTTTCCCTGAGTTGAGTGTTTGCCAGATCCCCTGGTCATTCTCTTCAGACTGTGATGATCTATTTGTGCCTCTGCACTGTTCACTTGTTCTCAAAGGGTCTTGACAACATCTAGCTTGGCATGCATCAGTTCACTACTGAGTAGTGCAAAACCAGCCAGCCTGTCTGCCTATTCTTTCAATGTTTTGATCTATGACAACAGTTTATATCTTTCTTTCTGCTGGCATGCAGAATAAAGATCTCCTATACAGTTACTGATAATGCAGCCATCTGCAACCAAGTATGGTCTTCATGATTGATAAAACCTCAGTTACTTTGTCTCTGCACACCTTCAAATGTATTCCAGAATATAGTTAGAGAAAACAGTGATCAACCTGGGCAGGTTGACATTTCCAGTCTGGCCTCTGATACAGCAGGTGTAGACCAGAATCATTTTCTTTTTTCTTAATATACTGGACACTCTTGCAGCAAATATTTAGCCACCAATGCACCAATTCCATAGTTACATACAACAGTGTCTTTTATTTTTAACTTGAACAGGTGGTACTTCAGCTTATATCTTTTGCAGTCTAAAAGTTGTTACTTGTTCACATTGGTCTAGTGCAGTGGTTCTCAACCTGTGGGTCGTGACCCCTTTGGGGGTCAAACAACCTTTTCACAAGGGTAGCCTAAGACCATCGGAAAATATATATTCACTGAAGTTATGAAGTAGCAATAAAATTAATTTTATGGTTGGGGGTCACCACAACATGAGGAACTCAATTAGAGGGTTGCGGCATTAGAAAGGGTGAGAACCACTCATGTATTGGGTAATATAGATCATATCTGGTAGCCCAGGTGCTTTGATTCCAAATAAGTTTCACAAGCAATATTTATTTTGTGGTTGGCTAGCTCCATAATGGTGGTTGGTTATAATAAATATATGCATCCGCAGCTGTTTTGGGGAACATTACATGGCCAGGCAATGCGAGACTCAGACCACTGTTCACAAGCCACACAAAGATATTATTTTCCTTAACCATCGCAGAAATCCCACCATGGTATATCAAGGGCTATGAAACTCTAAGCCATATTGCTGCATTAATTGGTTCGATAAGTCCTGTTTATAAACTTCTTGGCCTGAGAACTAGTTATGTCTATACCAAACTGTGGTAGTCTTTCACTACCCTTTGCCAGCCTCTTAATTCCCAATTACACTGCGATGAAAGGCTTATCTGAAGTTCACAGTCACAAACTATTTGTGTACACCCTCTCTCTCTCTCTCTCTCCACCACTGGCTAAGTTTGGAATCTTTCTGTTTGATCAAAAACTCTCAACATAAATTAGGTGTCCTCTCCACACCCACACCATGGCCACTTCGCTCACACAACATCCTTGACTCGCCCTCCCAAACGTCTGTCACTGGGTTGTATTTCTCTACACAGGGGAGAAAGTCTGTGCCATCGTAGCCTCCTGTAAAATGAAAGAGAGATGTTTATAAACTTATTTCCAAGGAAACTTTGCGAGAGCATAATTCAAAGACTTGTTTTTTTATACCAATGGCACATCGATAATACTAGGCTATACGCATATTTTTAAAGACTATTGGCACTCGGAGGGTGATTTGGTTGATATTATGTCAGCTCACATAACCCATTTTAAGCTGGGTTGATTAGGGAGCTAAGGTCAATTCTTAAAACCAAATCCTGCCTTGACATAAATTCAAACCTAAGACCTTTGAGTCGTTAGGTGAGTGTCTAACTGCTATGCTATTGCAGTTCCTGGTGAGAGTATAATCAAATTTTATGTTTTATTGGCAGATAGTTTACATAAAAAATGTTATAAAGCAGAATTTGATGGGTTATGCAATCAAACTGACTGCCTTAACCTCCATTTACCATGAAAGCACTTATCACATAAGAATTTGTCTGGCATGAATGCACTAAACACATAACATTTCATTTACTGTGAATGCACTTACAACATAAGAATTTATCTGTCATAAATGCACTTAACACATGAAGTTTCATTTACCATAAATGTACTTGCCACATTATGAATTTGTTTAGCCAAACTGCACTTACCAAAACTATAAATGCACTTACCAAGTACATTTTCATTTACCCTGAATGCATTTGCCACAAACAGTTTCATTTACCATGCATGTACACATAACAACATACAGTTTCTTTTCAGTGAATGCACTTATCATGAACAGTTTCATTTACCATGAATGCACATATCACAACATACAGTTCATTTAGTGTGAATGCACTTATCAAATAAGGTTTCATTTACTATGAATGCACTAACCACATAAGAATTTATTTAGCAAAAAATGCACTTACTACATATAACTTAATTTACCATGAATGCACAAAACACATATGGTTTCATTTACCATGAATGCACTTATCACATGCAGTTTCACTTATCATGAATGCACTTACCATACAGTTTCATTTACCAAGAAAACAATTAGCATATCCAGTTGTATTTACCACAAAAGAAATTACCACAAATGATTTCCTTTACCATGTATGCACTTACCACATAAAGACTGATTTACCATGATTACACTCACCTAAAGCATACAACATGTTGTCGACCACTGCAACACCAACACCACTTCGTGCTTTGAGAAGAGGGGCCACATACTCCCATATCCGCCTCTTTGGGTCATATCTTTCTACAGACATGAGCTGGCTGTGACCGTTAA